GGAATTGGGGGCCTCCATGGAGCACATGTGGAAAGTCCCTGAATGGCCAGAGGGAGTATGGATTCCCTTGTAATTGCAGGTACAGCATTTGGGCCAAGCAGGAAGCACAGGGAAAAGAGGTGGCTGCACGATGGCTCATGGGCCCCCCACTGGCCTTCGTCAGAGAACACCGGACTAGAACTGGGATTGAAGGAAGAAATAATGAGTCTTAGGATTTCTCCACCTTCCTGGGCGGAGGGGCCTCTGTGGGGTTCGTGATGCTTTATTGTTTATCTTGATTGGGCCTTAGAGGGCTAGAGGGGGCCTTATGTGGTACTCTACAGAGCTAATTAAGAAGCACAATTAATTACTTTGTCGTATTCACAGCAGAAGCTGAAGGACAGTTTTTTTCTGAAACTGGAATCATTAGCTCCTACTTGCCCCTGCTCAATCATTTGTCCACCAAGCAGACACTGAGACGGAACTCAGGACGTCACCTCGGAAAATCCCTTCTACTCAGGTTCTCCTTTCCAAAGTGCAGTAGCTAACGTGCAGAATTTCCTATGGATCTAGCTTTCATCATTCATTTATCCAAGCAGCGTCTGTGGACCCTGCTGTGTACACAGACAAATGTGGGGTTTAAGTAGAGTGATCATATAATTTATTGTCCAGACTAGGACTCATGAGAGTGAAAGGTATGCTATTAATTACACCAGGTCACAGGAATCATCCTGGACTAACGGGGGCAAACCATGTCTCATCCCAGCTTAGGGAACTGCGGAACTGCTGAAGGGCAGCCTGCGTCCTCTGCCAGTGGGAAGTCGAGAGCCATTGAGGCCTGGGGCCCCTTGGGGTGAGGTTAATCTGGAGACAACTGCAGGAGAGTCTGCAGGGTGTGACGGAGGCCCTCCCGCTCCCATCTGCTGTCACTCATGTGCAGTAGAGAAGAGGTGATGCCCTCTGTCTGGGACTGGCCTCTGGGCTCTAGTAAGGGTAGTGTATGGAGCCACAGACAGATTTCTCCCACTGTGCAAAGCCAACAGATCTCTGGGACTTCTTTGTGCCTTTGGTCATTCTTGTAGGTTAACCAGCTCTGGGTGGAACAAATAGGAAAGGCTGGTTTATTTAATGAATGTTTCTAGGGTTTCTCTTGAGTGCAGAACTCTTGCTGCGGGCCTAAGAAACAGCACATGCCCCCTGGAATGACCAGCCCAGCAGTGGAGTCTGCGGAGACTGCTGAAGGAGCCCCCAGAGGGGACACTTCCGACTAATGCATAGGATTTGCCGGGTGATGGTTCTGTGACGAGGGAGGCCTGCTACAGCGCTGTGTGGGAGGGCCTCGAGGCCTAAACAAACAAATCCCTAAGAGGAAAATCTGGCAGAAACTCAGTCAACACAGGGCAGTGATGCCCTCTGCCCATTCCTCCTGCTAATTAACATGTCTAAGTGGCATAGCCCCCTCAGGAAAATTAGTGGCACCTTCAAGGCAGAGCCTGGAAGCCATCCTGGGCATATTGATGACTAGATTCACATGTTTTCTTTCTTTCTTTTCCTTTTTTTTTTTTTTTTTGAGACCGAACCCCACTCTGTCCCCTAGGCTGGAGTGCAGTGGTGTGATCTCAGCTCACTGCAACCTCCGCCTCCAGGGTTCAAGCGATTCTCTTGCCTCAGCCTCCCAAATACCTGGGATTACAGACGCGTGCCACCACACCTGGCTAATTTTTGTATTTGTAGTAGATATGGGGTTTTTACCATGTTGATCAGGCTGGTCTCGAACTCCTGACCTCAGGTGATCTGCCCATCACGGCCTCCCAAGGTGCTGGGATTACAGGCATGAGCCACCGCGCCCGGCGTCGCTGTCACTTTCTATAGCACATGTGTGTGCGTTGGAAAGAAAAGACAAGGGATGTGTCTTTTTTTGCTGGCCCACACCCCTGCTGTAAGAATCCCCCGGGGGCTGACCCCACCAAGCACGACTCCTGAAGCCTGCTGTGCAACATGCCACCTGGTTGCTTCCAGGCGTGCTCTCAGAACAGCGGGCCGGGCTCCCTGGCTGAAGGGGTCCCCCTGCTTCAAGTCCCTCCTACGCTCTCGGCCACCCCCCACCACTCCACCTGAGGGACAGCTGTTTACCGCCAAGCCCTCCCCGACCCTGGCTGAAATGTCACTCTAGGAAAGAACTCCCCTTGGGCCTCCCATCCCCAGGCCTGCCCCCATGCCCCATGACATGTGCGGGGGATACTTCGTTCTCCTGAGCGTGCCATTTTCTAGTCTTCACCTTTCCCTCGTAGGACAGCCCCCTTCCCATCCAGCTGCATCAGCACACGTCCCCCACCTGCCCAGGCCCTCTGAAGATGCTGGGGAAAGCACAAGCGGCACAGCTGGGCTTTCTTTCCCTATTCTGTTTCTGGGGCATCCGGATGTCCGGGCCTGCATGGGGGTGAAGGGGAAAGAAGTGGGGAGGGCAGCTGAGGTCCTCATGCCTAGAAGCCAGCTGGCTTGGGGCCACTGTGGGCGTAGGCTAGGAGATGGACAGGGCAGGGGGCTGAGGACAGGCGCAGGCTGCGGGAGCCAATGTGTCTTTTGCCTGCCTTTTCCTTGTGCTGTTCTCAACCAGATTTTGAGTTTCTTGAAACAGGAACTTTGTCTTTCTGTTACTTCCATACCTGGCACACCCTGGTATTCTGTGAATGGGGAATGATGGAGGAAGGTGCGTGTGCCTCCCTCTGTGGGTCTCTGTGTGTGTTCCTATAAGTCTCTCTGTGTTCCTGCCCCTGTGTCATTTCCATCTGGGCCTCCCTCTCGGTGGCCACGGGACTGTTGGCCTCCGTCTCTAGGAAAGTCTGTACGTTGGAGGGACTTTCTGTGAGTGCCATCCCCTGCAGGTCTTGAGGCTTCAGGCCTTTGGGTAGCACCTCCACCATGGGTCCTCTCAGCAGGGGACCCGGGAGAGAAATGCCATCCCTGCCATTCACCTCCTGCCCCACAGATGCTCCACCACCCACCCCTCCTGCTGCCGTGTGTCATTTACCAGCTTCTACCTCAGCAGGTACTTTCCAGCTTCACTTTGATGATGACCCAGGGACTTGGAGCTGTGCTGGGGTCAGGACAGAGCCTGTTCCTCTCTCTTGGAGTGGGGCCAAGAGCCTTGTGTGAGGACCTGCAGCTGGCTCAGGTCTTCCCCAGTTGTGTAAATCAGGGTGGGTGAAAGGGTTAAACAGGGACCCTAGGATCTGGGTGCTGGAACCTGCCTGCTTTGGAGGAGAGTCTGCTAATGAGGCCACTTTCCAGGAAGGCCGGCTCCACGAGGTGCTGCCAGCGCCGGAGCAGATGCTAATGAGGACTGGCTTGGCTTGAGGATCAGGTGCCTAACGAGCTTAACAAGTAGGGACCCAGAGAGATGGCCTAATGGCTCTGTTGGCATTTTAAGGGCAGAGCTCAGTGGGAGCCATAACCAGGAGACCGAGTAATGAGGGATTCAGGGCTGGGGTGGGACCAAGGAGGAGCCTCCTCTGAACTGGAGAGAGAGCTTATCGAAGTGCCTACTGAACAAAGGTTAGCAACTTTGATGCTTTTCTCGGTGTTGGCCTTGGCAGGCTTGGACTCCCAGCAGGGATCACAGGCCCTTGGTCCCTCCAGGGAGCAAAGGACAATTGGCATAATGAGCCGGGGGCTGTATTAAGAAGCAGTGATGAATGCCTGGGACTTGGTGCCAGGTTCTGCAGCGTCTGCTCTGATAAGCACCTGCTCACAGCCTCATCTGGCCACAGAAATCTCCAAGTGGCCTCTTGGGGGCCAAGCCATTTGCAGCTCCTTGCTCTGCAAGAGCCCCGATGATGCTAACGGATGCGGCCATCATGCTGCCGCTGGGTATGCAGTAAGACTTTCTAAGATACCCTGAGTTCTGAGTTCTGTCACTTGAGAAAATAAAATCAGGGCGCCCCAACCTCCCTGCCCTCTTGACAAGAGAAGCAGGGCTCACATTTAACCTGCAGTGCACTCCCGCACAGCTGGTGGTGAGAAACGGAATGAGCTGATGACATGGGCACCCAAAGCCTACTGCAAGTCAGATAATGTTCAGTTCATCTTTTCCAACCAAATTGAAAGGACATTAATTAAACAGCCAGCTGATAGGTCATTTTGGTGGTAGATCACCGTGCAGTTTTGACTGTACCTCTCAGCAGGAGGATAGAGAACTGACTGGCAGTGCCAGATCATCTCCTGAATTGAACACGTTTCTCAGGACAGCCCACTATAAACGGTTAAAAAGGAAAAGAATTGATGCTGAGTCCCGATTTATTCTAGCAATAAATATTCACCTAGAGATTCATGAGCCATTAACTTCCTATCCATTTCATTAAGCTGTGTTTTCAGTAAATTTTCCTCTTTAGGTTTAGCTAGTTACTTATAAAAACTTTAGGTATCTATGTTGTTTTAATCAGCGGTTTACTATATTTTATATCAAAAAATAATTGTAATAATTCAACCCAGAAGATTATTGTAAAAACCCTTGAACCTTTGGTCATAGAAAATGAAATATCTTAATTTTAATTCATACATATATTGTGGGGCAGAGAAGTATGACAAAGTGAGCAATAAAACACTTTGAGCCATAAAAGTAATGCATTAGTGTAAAATTCTATAGGGCCATGGAATGAAGCTACACATTAAAGAGGAAGGAAACAATGTCACATTTCCCACAATTAAAGCAGAGCTGGCCAGCCTGAGCAACATGATGAGACCCTGTCTCTACCAAAAAAATACAAAAATTAGCCCAGCATGGTGGTGCATGCCTATAGTCCCAGCTATTCGGGTGGCTGAGTTGGGAAGATCACCTGAGCCTGGGAAGCGGAGGTTGCAGTGAGCTGAGGTCTTGCCACTGCACCCTAGCCTGGGTGACAGAGTGAGACCCTGTCTCAAAAAAAAAAAAAAAAAAAGGAAGAAGAAGAGCTGGGTCAGGTGTTTTTAAAATAGATGAGGGTGGGTGTTAAATCACTGTGGTGTTCAGAATTCATTTGATATATTTTAAAGTGTTGCAGCAGTTTTATTTAAAGATGTAAATATTTACAAAATGACAGAAATCACACCTTTGAAGGTTTTAAAGCTTAAGTAAAAAATACTACATGTCAACTTAAAAATGTGCAAGATGGAATACATGGTTTTTCAAAATTTATTTTTGTAGGGGTACCTAGAGCATTGGTTCCTTTTAGAAGCAATGGCCTGATGCTTCTCCCTCCCTGACTCCTGTGGCTCCGCTGCAGGGACATAGGGACGGAAGCCAAGCCCGGAAGCTGCCCCGGTGGTCGACTGAGGGGCCTTGTCTACCCTTCCCACCAAATTCCAGAGCCTTGGCCTTTGGGACAGGCCCTGGCTTGCTGGATGAGCTGCACACCTCCTCCAGGCTGAACCAAACTGCCCTTGGTTGGGGGCTGGGGCCAGGTATTAGCCTGGTTGGAGTGATAAGGGACAGACCTGCCTGCAGGTGCTTTGACTATAAAGACTCCAAACCTACCAGAGGTCAGAGAGAGAGAGAACTGGCCTGAGGCCAGGGCCCGAGTCCACTAAGGAAGATGGATGTGGCCCCTCAGACCCAGCCACAATCCTTGGCCCACACCACTCTTTGGATGCCTGGGTGACTTGACCTGAGGGGAGGCCATTTCCAAGAGGCATGGTTTATTTCACAGAGAGCAGAGATGTTTCTGAAGGGGAGGCTGGAGGGTGAAGGGCAATGGGGTGTGAGTTTCAATCACCGAAGACATAGTTGGTTTCCGCTATTCCCATCCCATGCCTCCATCCTCCATGCCTCTGCTCCTCGTTTTGCCCCGCACGATGCAACTGGTTGACCTAAGAATGGGGCTGCCCTGATGGCGTCTTCCTCGATTCCCTAATCTGCGGAATAGGCAGAGAAGGGGTCTCCCAAGAGAGGAAGCCAGGCCTGGAAGCCCGCATCCTTCATGGAGCCCCTGAGGCGGGAGGATGGCTGGGGAGTGGACAGAGGAACAAGGGTGGGGCACAAGTGAGCCTCTCTAGGTGACAGCGCCTGGGATAAGGCAGCCAAACTGATCCTTTGCTCCAGTTGGCATACCGCACCCAGCTGCAGGGGCACCAGCGAGTGTGGCGGCCAAGGGCTGGCGCAGGGCCACACCGTCACCTGACTGCTGGCACCGTGAGTAGGGCAGGGGAGCCCCGTGTCTGCCACTATAAATAGCTGCGTGTGTTGGACAGGCCCTTGTCTGCTCTGGGCCTCAGTTCCCTCTCTACAGTGAGGCTCTGGCCAGAGAGGCTGGGATGGGCAAATGCCTGCAGACATTTGACCGGCTCTTCTCAGGGGGTCCCGTGAATTCCCTCTGCTCCCTCTCGCACTGAACCTGGCAGCCCCCACTGGTCCCTGTCCCTTGGAGTCCCCCTTGGCTGCCGCACCCCTTCTTTCCTGCCAAGCTGGAGAGCTGGTCTCTCCCCTCCCATTTCCTGCCCCACCAGAGCCTGCCCAGCAAGGAGAACCCAGAGGAAGAAAGTGAAGGACGGGGGAACTGCATAGGTGGGCGACCGAGGGGTCACACGGCGGCCGTCTGCTTGATGCTGTGGAAGCTGATCCGTGTGGGTGATGTAGGGATGGACATGGCCCGGGCCACGGGGACTCGAAGGGAGTGATGGTCCTGCCAGCGGTGCCACCTCTTCCTCACAGCCGAGCGCACCTGTGGAGAAGGCAGAGGCTCAGCCAGCTCCCAGGGACCAACCCTGGGCTTCTGGGACAGTTTCCTTCCCTGCTCTCTGCTCTCATGGGTCGACTGCCACCCTCATGCCAAGGAATTGCCTGCTTCCAAAACCGAGGTCCTTCTCTGACCCTGTTGCCTCTCTCCAGGGGCCCCTTCCTTATCCTTCTCCTGGAGAAGCCTGACGCCACACCTCCTTTACTCCACACTGTCCTCCCAGATCATCCAGTTTCCTCTGCACACACTGCCTTCCCTTCCCTGACTCACTCTGCCCCCTCAAAATTAGCATCTTGGGACCAGAGAGCGCAGCTTGGAGACTTGGCCCCCTCAGCCCTCTTGGGCCCCTGCTCCTGCAGGGCATTGGTGGTGTGTGTCCAGTTCATACCTGGAGCGCCTCTTCCTCCCTCCCGGAGACCGTCCCCTCTGCAGCCCTCACCTTCTCTAGCTCCTGCTAGACTCCCCTGCCTGACTAACCATGGTGTTTAATGCCTGAAAGTGAAAGCTGTCCGTCCTGGTCATTTCTAAACTTGGCTGTACCCAGGGCCATTTAAGCTTCATTTGTTTGGCAATTGAAGAATTTTTCTAGAAATTGGATGGTGTCCCTCACATCCTAGCTTGTACATGGTTCGAACAGAATAAATGCTCCATAAACATCCTTTGTTTGTTTGCCTTACTGGCCCCCTCTCTTCTTTTCATCCAGATCACAGGACCCGCCTCTACTGATGGACTCTGCAAGTGGAATGTGCTTTCATCCACAGAGACACAGGTCTGCAGAGACACCTTGCCAGTGCCCTGCGCCAAGACAGGCAAGTGCATTCCTCTGGAGTGTTCAGAAGCTCCCGGGCCCCGGGGGCTGTGTTTCGTCTTTGCTGTATGTTCTCATTCACCCCAGCCCAGGTGCCAGTGCGCTTCTCCCCTGCGTCAGCTGCACTGGGGCTCTGGGCCTCAAGGTTGGTGCCAAGCTTCACGGCCGCCTGACTCCCCAGAGCCTGCTCTCGCTGTGTGGGCTTTTCTGTGGCAGGTAGGGGGGAATGTGCTGGTCTCTCTTCTGCTCCCTGAGTCCATACAGACCTGATTGCATGATACACATCTCTTTCTGGAAGCTTCCTCCTGTCACTGCCTTTGCTCTGGCTTCTCTCTTCCATGAGGCCCTGCAGCCTGGGCTTCCCTGCTCATCCAGCTCTCTGAGTGCATGTGTGGAGCACTGGCATGTTATTTCGGGGCTGCATAGTTGACCTTCTAAACTGGCTCCAGCCCCTGCGAGGAGGATTCCTGTTCCCCTAAAGCCAGGTGGTATCTCAAGCCTTCCCCTCCCTGGGACTCCTGCAAGGCTGGGCAGCACCACTGGAGCTACCCTGGAGTGGGATCTGAGGACCTGGATATCCCAGGCGCCCCCGCAGACCTGGCCTCATACCTCTCCATTGAAGAAGCAGTAGAAGACAGACACGAAGAAACCCTGGAGAGGAAGGAAAGAAGGGAGTGATCAGTGACCTGCCTGCAGAACTGCTCTGCCTGGAGGGGTGGCATTGGGGACAGGATGGTGGGGGGAAGGCTCTGACCCAGGAACCCCTGGAGTCTGAGCTGGGTGGGGTCCTAGCCTTAAGGTGCAGATATTCCACGGTCCGCTGTGAGTGAGCAGTGGTCACAGGCCTGGAGCCAGGCAGACTCCAGTCTCCTCAATATCGTGTGACCTGTCCCAGGGCATTTGGCCGGGCTGCCTGCATCCTCAGAACAGGTGCTGGGACAGTAGATGCAGGCTGATAGGACCCAGATGCAGGCTGCGTGGGGATGACGGGCCAGGCTCAGGCTGAGCATGTACAGGCTTCTAACTCTGTGGATGTAACTGAGCCACGGGTGTGCCAGTCCCGTGGGACCATCTTAATGAGGGCATGGCTGCCAGAGCAGCCTCAGGAAGCTCACTGTGGGGCCCCCATCTGGTCATGGGCCCCACCTGGAACGACTGCAGGAAGGAGTTGAAATAGATGAACACGATCTGCGACAGGTCGTCCTCCCCGGGATTGACAAAGAAGAGTATGTAGGTGATGCCCAGGAGGGGCAGGAGCACCAGGGTGGCCTTCACCGCCTTCCTGGGGGCAAGAGGTGGACATAGGTCTGAGCCCATGCGGCAGACAGGGCCTCACCTGGTGGGATGGCAGGAGACACTGTGGCTGTGTTTCTTCCGGGAGCTTGAGTGAGCTCCCTGGGTGAGGCCTGGAGCAGAGGGCTCTGCCAGGAAGCAGGGGGACAGCCTGATGACCTCATCCTCTCCCCACTGCGGGGTCAAGGCACCCCCTCACATACCTGTACTGGATTGTCTCGGATGTGGTGGACGCGCGTAACTTTGTCATTAGGATCCTGACGATGTTGAACAGAAATATGAAATTGATCTGGAGGGAGGGCGGGCATGGGAAAGAGGGAAAAGCAAGGAGCACGTGTTTGAGATGAGCTGAGAGGCAGCCCCCTTCCCCGCAGTCCCCTGGAAACCCACGTCCCATGTACACACCTATCCTACCTGTCCCCCTAGCACCTGCCAGCATCCCAAGGCCTGTGCTCCTCCCTCGCCAGGATGGGGAGACAGCCCATTTTCCAGGGCCTGCGTCTCCAGCTCGGGCTTGAGGAGGAAAGGCGGCAGCCTCTGTGGGTCGTGACCGAGAGCACGAGACATGCCCTCTGAGGCTCAGAAAGCCCCCAACCCTCTCCCCCGCATAGGGACCCTACGGAAGCCCCTTCCTGTCTCTGTCCCTACTTGTTGACTGAGGGGCTCTCCGAGTCCCTTGCACTGTCACTGGCTCTAGGTCAGCCTGAGGTCCTTCTGACTGAGGACAGCACTGCCCTGGTGGGGCAGACAAGGCCAGATGGAGGGATTAAGAACTCAGTTGCTGAATGAGTGATTAATCTGCCAGCATCCCCCTGTGCCCAGGAACTCCAGAGCCTTCGTAGGCACCCTAGACAGGGAAGATGGATGGGCTGCAGGGCTGGCTCTGAGGCCCCAGGAAGGGCCTCATTTATCTTCATTCTGAGTTTTCCCTTAGCACCAGAGCCTCCCCACCCAGCCCCTGGACCTGGAACTGGCCTGTGTGGCCCCCCAGTCGCTCCCTGCTGGGTGTGGGTCCCCGTGGGCCTGCGAGTGTCTGTTCATCTGTGTCGGCTGTGACTGTGACTGTGTTGTCCCCTGGAAGCTGCGATGTGGGTGTGTGGGTCTATCCTTTAAGCCCTTGTGCAAGTGGGTTTGCCTCACAGAGTGTGTGCATGCGTGAGCATGGATCTGGGGCCCAGGCACATCTGTGTTTCTTTTCACCTGCCTCCGAGCGTAGGTAGGCAGGCAAGGAGTGTGTGTCGGCCTGACACAGTGGAGCTGTTTCCTGACAAAGTGCTCATGGGCCAGAAGGAGACACATGTTAGTCCACGGGTGTCTGCTGGCTCGTGTGTGCACACCCACTCACACACACACACACACACACCCCTCTGAGGATCTGTCTAGAAAATCCATTGGTTCTTAAGCTTGGGCTGGGCCCTTCTAACCCTCCCAAGTTCTGAATCCTGGCTGGGAGAGGAGGGACACAGGATCCAGGCAGATATCCTGAAACTGTCAACCCTGTAGCCTCTGGATGCTCCCCACAAGCTTTCGGGTAGCCCTAGAGGCAGGGAGAGCTCACACCCCACCTCAGCTACTGCCTGTTGCTCTCTTACCACATAGTGGTATGGCCTGGGGGGTCCAGGGAAGGCTGGGGGTGGAAAGCCTTCAGCAGGGCTGCCATGACCTGATACCCCCAGCTTTCTCCTAAGGCTCACCTAATTTCCAGCTCCTGGGTCTCCAGCATATTCCCCTGGATCATGAGACACAAGTCACCTTAACATATAAGTGAATCCTAATTTTCTCATACAAGTAATGCAAAGTATTTGACCTTTTCTGATTCTTCCTGACTTCCCTGAGAGTAGAAACTGTTGGAATCAAAACATACTCTCGTTTCTGCCACATTTTCTTGAATTTAGTATTAATCTTTGGACATCCATCAACCCACTAATCAGTTCAATTATCCACCCATTTTTATTCATCTATCCATCCATCCATCCACTTACCTACCAACCAATTCATTCAATTACCCACCTACTTTTATCCATCCATCCATCCATCCATCCATCCATCCATCCATCCATCCATCCATCCATCCATCCATCCATCTATCCATCATTCCTTCTTTCCTTCCTTCCATCCATCCACCTAGCCAACAACCAATTCATTCAATTATCCACCTACTCTTTTATCTATCCATCCACGCACCCATCCATCTACCCATTCATCCACCTACCCAATAACCAATCCATTCAGTTATCCATCTACTGTTTTATCTGCCCATCCACTGGCCCATCCATCTATCCATCCATCTACCTAGCAACCAATTTATTCAATTGTCCAACCACTATTTTACCCATCTACCCATCCATCTATTCAGTAAACAAGTGGTTCTTGAGCACCTCTTGGCTATAGGGCCCTGTTTCTTGTGCTGAGACAAGGTCAGGGACAGGGTCGAGTGTGGAGCATCTGGGAGACAAGGCCTTGTCCTCATCCTTACACTTGGCAGGCATTTAGTTATGTGGCCCCACTCATCTCAGCTTGGGTCTATGTAACCTGAAAATCCTTCTTTCCTTTGAGCCTGTTTCCCAGCCTCCCACTTCACACCACCACAGGCACCTTCCTCTCTCTCCAGGGAGCCTTCTGGTCACCTGCCCACACTGAGCTCTCCAACTTTCCATTCTTGAACTCCACCTCCCCCTAAAAACACACTCCAGTTCTTTAGTAAGAACTGTCTATTGTACCCTGCCCTTGTTCAGCCTGTTTCTGGTTTTATTTAATTGTTCATTCATTCAATGACTCAATGGACCACGTGTCAGCCTCTGAGCCAGGCATCAGCGATGGGGAAGTGGACAGGCAGTCAGAGCCCCTGCTTGCAGAGGGCTTGTGGCCTAGCTGGGGGCCTGGAGGGGTTGGGGTGGGGGAGATGACACCTTTCCTAAGGTGTCAGAAAGGCCTGGAGAAATGGAGGATGGGCTAAGAACTGAAGATAAGCTCCCCCGCCCCGGCCCACACATGAACTGAAGCACCAAGTCCTAGTCTCATGGCTCAAATTTTGACTGTCCCAGTTTGCAGTTGTGTGGCCTTGGGCAAGTTGCTTAACCTCATGAGTTCCTGCTGCCTTGTCTACCCCCAAGGGGGCTAACCACAGAGCCTGCCTTAGAAGATTAGCACAATACTCACAGAGAGCACTAAGACCTGTGTCTGGCCTAGTGACTGCCAATCCTTTCCCATGACCCCAACAGTGATAACACCAGCAAGAAGTCAGGCTTCCTGCAAGCTCAACCACCTGATTCACTTCTCAGAACCAGAAATAAGTGAGTATCTCTTAGCAGCAGAAATGCAGCTGTGAACTGCTGGGGAGTGTAAGGATGGCAGGAACACCAAGCACGTGTCCAACCTTGAGGACAGCAGGCAGATGGTGGGGACAAAGCAGGAGACCTGTCTTTGAGCCTCAGCTGTGCTAGCTATTAGTGGTGACCTTGGGCAAGCCAATTCATCTCTCTCGGCTTCTTCATCTGTAAAATGGAGAGCATAACCCTATTTCTTTTAAGACTTGAGCGTGCAAGGGTTGGAAATAATGTAGATAGAGCTTCTGGAAGGGCTCAGCTTGGAATCTGGAAGCCCCTGTTGATGCAAAGAGCTGGGCCCAAAGGAAAGAAGGAAAGGGCTTATGAGCACAGACGCTGGGGTGGAGCCAAAGAAGGGGTCTGGAAGGGAGCTGGGTCTTGACACTGAGCTCTTGCATTCCTCGCCTCCTTTTCTCTTGGCATTTCCTCACCACCTGGCCAACATCTTTACAGCTGGGGCTCACTCTCTGCCACCATTGGTCCCCCATCCAGGCCAGCCTTCCTTGGCTCCATCCCAAGCTCATCAAAAGCCTTATTCCTCCAGGATGGCCCTTGGCAGCTGGTTGGGAAGAAATGGATCTCATGGGGTTTCTGTTCACACTGAGGGGTGAGTGACTCACCGCAGCTGGGAGTCCAAGGACAATCCTACTAGCTGCTGACAAAACCTGGTTTCTGCCTCTGAAGTGAAACAAGCCCTGACAGTGAAATTTCCAGCAGTGGGTGAAAAAACTTCCTAGTCGTCATCAGTTCGCATATATCAAGGACACTCCAAAGATGGAGGTCAAATGAAACCCAAAGTCACAGAAAAAGGAGAGTAAGAAAATAAAAGAGATACATAATAATTGTCTCCAAGGTAGACAAAAGAAAGCCCCACCAGGCACCTTCTGTGTGCAGGAGGAGATGGCACTCTCGTTGAGTCTCCCAGAAGGAACTGTGGCCCTTTAAGGAAGCCGGTACATACAGGAGCCTGAAATTACTGAGCCTGAAATAAGTCTTACGTAAATGCCAATTTCTTACGGGGCTTTTATGTATGTCTTTCTTTCTTTCTTTCTCTCTCTCTCTCTTTTTTTTTTTTTTAAAGGTATGATATATAATGGGTTCCTTTTGCAGAATGCAGCCTCTACTTAAACTCTCCCTTAATTAAAGCTCTTTGTGGATTAAAGATGTGTGGCAATTATACCTTAGATGCAAATACATTTGGCAAAGGGCGGGGAGCTGGACAAGGAACAATTGCTCATTACGCTTCATCCCAGTATTCTCCACTCCAGGCTGGGGGCGGTGGGCTGGACCCAGAGAGGGTCGCTGGGTGCCAAGGGGAACGTAGGTCTGGAATGAACAGAAGTCCGCACACTTTTCTGTTGTCACCAGCTGCCTGCTCACCTGGCTGTCTCAGCATTGTACAGTGTCAGACCAGGAAGGCACAGGAAGTCTACCCATTAGATCCTTTCTCCTCCCAGAGAAAGAGCCCTGAGGTCACCAGTGTGGTGCGGGGCTGCGCCAGGGCATCGAGCGTGAGGAAGGGAAGGCTGGGTGGTGCTGGGGCATAGGGTGGCACGGACAGGGTATGGGGTGGCATATAGAGTTGGTGCGCAGGGCCACCCATGCCACATCTTTGCCACTGTCTCTGCCTGGGTGGACCCTCCGCTGTCCTCCTGTCACCCAGCCCCATCCCAGACACCACTGAGGACCTACCAGGAGCACGAGAATGATAGGGCCTTGGTAGATGTAGTCCACCAGGTCACCAGGCTCCTTGCCAAACCAGCACCTGTGAAGATGGGGTGGCTTTAGGGGGCCTGCTGAGCTGGAACTGAGGGAATCCCCCAGACTTGGGCCCAGGGTCCTCCAGCTTTACCCTTCCTGAGACCTAGCCTCCAGGACTGACCCTTCCCAGAAAGCCCTGGTGGAAATACCAGCTCCACTGACCACCCTCACCCACCCAGGCTGTCTTTTGCTCTACACGGTGGGTCTAATCTCGCCAGCCAGACTGAGGACAGGTCATGGGTCTCTTGCTCCTCCTCTCTCGCCTGCCCCATTGCAGCCTGTTAGGCACAGGACTGGGCATGCAGGAGGCACAGGGAGAGCTGGGCTCCCCCTTGCTGGTCCACGGCCAATTGCGTTAGGCCACCTGTTCCCATATTGCTTGAAACCCGCTGTTCTGTGTGCCAGGCCCTCACTCGGCCACACAAAGCAGCAGATGTGGAAGTGGAGTCTTCCTACCTCCAGCCTGGGATTTTGTGTCTTTGCGCCAACACTTGTTCACCCAGTGAAGGGAGCTGCTGTCTGGCTGGCCTCACTGGCTGCCAGAGGCTTAGTTCATTCTCTGGGGATGCTGGTCAGGAGAAAGGCTTTAGGGTCTGGGTCGGCCAGCAACTGCTGGACCACAGGGAGGGGCCATCAACTTTGGGGAATTCAGCCCTCTGAAATCTTGGAGGTCATCCAGTGCAGACCTGCCGCAGATAGGATTCTCCCTGTCTTCCAGGGTTTCTGGTCTCTGCTTGGGTCCCTCCTTTGACAGGAAGCTCACCACCTACCAAGGCAGCCCTCTTCTTCTTGGGCAGCTTTTACTCTTACAAGCTCTTCCTAATGTTGAGTTCCTGGAACCCTACCCCATTCTTGTCCCCACTCTGAGGACAGATCCCCTCTGCTCTCTCCAGGCTCTGAGACAGACCCCTCGGAGATTTGCATACAGGGTGATGTTCCCCAGTCCCCACTGCTCTCAGCTGATGACACTCGACTTCCTGGCTGCTCCCTGGCTGACCCATGGCCAGAGCTGCTGTCATTTGGGCTGTGGCTCAGCATATCACAACCTGTGGCATAGGGAGAACCTCAGGATGGGACACTGCACCCAGGCATAGACTGGGACTTCAGGAAAAAAAAAAAAAATCTCTGTTAAATGCTCATGGACTCTTTAAATGCTCATGGACAGCTCTGGATGCCATGTGCGGCCTTGGCCCCTTCCACATACCCCGGGCCAGAGCTGCCACATCCAAGTCTGAGGAGGTCTTACAAAGACCAAAGGGGGCGTGCGTGGCACGGAGGTGGGGTGCGGGGAGGGGCCGGGGAGACACTGCAAGGAACCATGATTCCTAACTTAATTCAGCAAAGTTCCTTGAGCCCTACTACATGAGTACCTCTGAGTGCAGGGCTATTTTTTTCAATTTAAGGACAACAGGACAGTGAATCTGTCTAAGTGTGGCTACAACTCCTGCTCCACGGCTTGGCCAGAGCCCAAGGCTGACCTTTCCTAACACCCCACACCCTTCCCCATGAGCCCCCATGGCTGGCCCATCCACTTACTGTTCATTCTCATAGTAGAGCTTGCTGATGGCCCAGGCGATGATGATGGGACAGGGGATGCCTGAGAGAAGGACAGACTTGGGCTGCAGGGGACCGATGGACAGGGAGCTTCTTGTAGGACATATCATGGTGGACCACAATGGGGCTGGGACCATGTTTTTACTCTTCCAACAGCAGGTTACCCATAACCCCAGGGGTGCCCTGTCCCTTGACCCCTGGCCCATGCCCCCGCCCCTCTCTCCAAGCAGGGATGCGTGACTTTGTGATAGAGTAGAGCCAGCCAGTTTCTGAGCCAGAGACAAAGGCCTTGGACAGGTCCTTCCTGGCAGGGGGAGAAGAGCTATTTGAGGAATATCCTTTGGAGGGATCCTTTGCTTGTTCCTCACCAGCATGGAGGGAAGTAGCTGCATCCGCGGGACTGGGCTGGGGGTGGAGGGCAGGGCCGGACTCTGGTCCTTGGACCCAAGACGAAGGGAAATGGCCTGGTGAGAAGTCCTCCCCCCACCTAGGCCCTGCTGTCCCCGGGACCCTCACACCATCCGATGAAGAGGAAGAGCCACTTGCGCAGGCGCTCGGTGGAGTAGGTCATGACGATGGCCGTGTGCAGGTAGCAGCCTTCCACAAACATCCAGAAGAAGTTGGTCACCACGAAGTAGTTGAAGATGGTGGTGATGCAGCGGCACCAGACCTGTGTGCAGGGCACAGGCTGTCAGGAGGTTGCTCAGGGCCCAGGCAGGACATACACATCCCCAGGCAGGGCAACAAGACACAGGGCTTCCCAAAGGGGGTTTGTGAATATGCCATCAAATACCAGTGAATCTCACTCTGAAAAGCCTCATCCTTCTCCAGTGCTCTTTCACTCTTTCAGATTAAGTTAAGGTGCCATTCTCCACTGGGGCCAGTGTGCTTTTTTAACTTCTCTCTAACTCTAATTTTTCTTTCTAGTAAAGAGAGGGAGAGTCTGGCTCTGAGCTTTCTGTAGACAGAGGCTGGAATTCAACCACCTTGTTGTATTTTCATTTTAGTTTTTTTGAGTCATTTTCAATCCATAGCAAGTCAGATCTGCTTCCTTTTAGGGATGGGTTATGGAATTTCATTTAGAAAAAAATGAAAAAAAAAGTGAGTAAAGTGAGTCAAGGGTGTATGAAGTGGGGCTGCGGCCAAGGAGGGGATACTCCAAAGACTCTGGGTTTGGGAACTTCTGGACTTGGCACAATCATTACTGGCTCTGGAGGGAAACTTGCAAAGTACACGGCTCCTGGCAAGTCACTGCACCTCTCTGAACCTCAAAAAGTAACATTGCCTTCCAGGGTGGCTGAAGGAGACAGAGGATAACAAAGACAGGCACGAGGGTAGCTGTGTTGTGGCTGTGGTTGTGCCTGCTGTGGTTCTGTGCCTTCCCAGCAGAGGGGAATTTGTCCCTGTCCCTCTGAGCAAGGCTACCTTCCCCAAGCACAAAGGTTACCTTCCCAAAGGAAATAGGGAGGGGAAGCCCCCGCCCCTCTAGAGCCACACAGTGGGCCACAGCAGGGCCAGGATCTAGGCCTTGGGCTTCCACGCCAGAGCTCCTCTCAACAGACCCCCACCTGGTCATCTTCCCCACATGCTCATCCCCAGGGCACCCTGAGAGCCAAGGCTGGGACATGGGGAATGATGGAGCCAGCTCAAGGTCCGGGGACCTGTGTGTCAGGGGCTCTGCTTCTGGCTCTGACAGCCCCGGTTCTTAGATAACCCTCCTGTCCTGAGCTGCTGGCTGCTTCTGGGCTTGGCTGCCCAGTCCCCGTGGCTGTCTTCTGGGCTTCCCTGCACAGCCTCCTGTGGAGGTCTGTCTCCTTTTTTCCTGAGAAAGTCCTGCTGAGGTGGGAAGTTACCGAGCCCCTCCTCCCAACCGTACTTTTCCTCTATGGTTGATGATGTTCTATTAGCATTAGCCCACGTGGGAGCTGGAAGGCGCCCTCAACTTGAGTGAGCCTATTTGGTTCTGAGGCAAGGTTCTTTGTGGGACCATGTTAAGGATCATACCAGGCTGGTGTCTGCTAAGGCACAGGCCACCCAAAGGAAATGTACTGAGAAGTCTCTAATGGTGTGCCACAGGGCTCTGCGATGGCCCAAAACTAGTCTATACTTTTACAATGGCTTGGATACAGTACACAGCAATGGACAGAAATCCAGGGTGGACAGTTAGCATGTGGGATAGCCCCTTATGTAGAGGTATCATCACTGCATGTGACCTTGGCTAGTCACTCAACCTCTGTGAGTCTCAGTTTCCATGTCTATGTAATGGGGAAAATGATCCCTGCTAGTCTCATTGGGATTCAGAGAAAGCTCAACAGAGGTTAGTTCTAGCCTCTTTTTCTCAAAGAGGTCTTTGAGGACATCTGAATCCACAATATAAGGAGTGGACTAGGGTAAATGTGTCTGGAGTCAGCTTTGTGAAGCTTCCAGCCTGGCAGCTTCCTGCTCCTCCCAGCCCAGCTCTGGTGGGACAATGGCTAGGGTGGAGGCGAGCTCAGGTATGGTTTTGCACCTGAGCCACAGCCCAGATGACAGCATTCTGGCCATGGGTCAGCCAAGGAGCAGCCAGAAAGTCAGGTGTCACCAGCTGAGAGTAGGGGGGAACTGGTGAACATCAGTCTCTGTGTGCAAATCTCCAAGGGGTCTGTCTCAGAGCCTGGAGAGAGTACAGAGGATCTGTTCTCAGAGTGGCAGCAAGAATGGGGTAGAGTTGCAGAAGCTCAACATTAGGAAGAGCTTGTAAGAGTAAAAGCTGCCCAAGAAGAAGAGGGCTGCTTTGATAGGTAGTGAGTTTCCTGTCAAAGGAGGGGTCTAAACAGACAGCAGACAGAGAGATGGGTGCCCCCAGAGCCCAGAGTCCCCCAGGTCTAGCCCCAAGTCTCCCCGAGCAGTGACCTCATTGCTCTCGTGCACTTCATGGTCGATGAGCTGCAGCAGGAACCACATGACATTTCGCAGGATAAAGGTGGTGATGAGGTTCCAGTGAATCACATTCCGCAGACAGCGGATGCTCCTGTGGGAGGTGCAGGTCAGGGGTCAGCCGGGGTCAGGGGTCAACTGGGACTGGGTTCGCCCTGAGGCCAGGTAGAGACTCAGCCTAGGATGAGGGCAGGGCTGCACTAGGAGCCACTTCCCACCCACGGTGGCCACAGTGAGGCCTCTGAGTCCAGCTCCCACTCTGCACCCCACATGCCTGCTGGTGATCTATGCCCTGGCACCCCGCCCAAACCCCCCTTTCTTCACTGGCCCTTTTATCTGCTGGACCCCAGAATGGAGGTGAGAATGTCTGGGAGAGGTGAAGGGGGTACTGTAGGAGGAGGGAGGAGGAGAAAGCAAGGCGGAAGGGTGGACTCACCGCAGGGCCAGGAAAAGCAGGAAGGCAGCCACCAGGGCTGCCACAGATACGCAGTGGCCCAGGTAGTTGACGACAAGGGCGACGCGGTAGTGCAGGTCGTACTTCCTCTGCTGGACAGACAGACATGGGCAGGGCAGACGGGGGCATGGGCATGTGAGGGTGGGGCTGGGTACTCCAGCCATGGCCACCTCTGTGTCCTGACCTTGGGGGCAGAAGTGCTCCAGCTGTCGTTGCCATGCCTGGCTCTTAGAGTTCGTTCCTGTTGGCCCTGGGTGGCTCTTGTGATAAGTGGCTGTGGTCAGGCCTTCCAACATGCATTTATTTTTATTTTTTTAGAGATGGGGTATCAGTCTGTTGCTCAGGCTGGGGTCCAGTGGCTATTCACAGGTGTAATCATAGTGCACTGCAGCCTTGATCTGCAGGCCTGAAGCAATCCTCCCACTTCAGCCTCTCAAGTAGCTGGGACTACAGACATATGCCACTGTGCCGGGCACCAACATGCATTTTTGGGGGCACATTTTGAGAGGTATGGGTACAGATTCTTTTTAAAAATTCCAGACTCTAGAATGCTTCTCCTGAGTTTAGTCTCAGCCCAGATCCCAGCTGGCTGAGTGACTGAGGGTGGGTTGATTTTTATTTCTGGACCTCAGTTTTGATGTCTGTACAATGGGGCCAACCTGCCATCCTACCTCAGAAGCAATGGCCTATGGGAGGCCTGGGGTGGGGTGCATTGAGATTACTCTGCCCTGGAGACCACACGAGAGGGTGCACTGTCTATAGAGAATTTAGAAATTTTATTCAAACTGAATAAAAGTCAGTTGACTTTTAATTATCACCAAGTGTTGGCAATTTGAAACAAAGTCAGTGATGAAATACTCCTTCCTGCCAGGGAGAGCCACCCCTCCACCCTACCCACCCCCTGTGTTGATTCTCCACTGCTGGAGGGGCAGAAAGAGTGGAGGTGAGAACTGAGGGCTGGAGGCCTCCCTGCCCGTTGAGTGGCCTCCCTGCAGAACCCCTGTGGCTCACATTTTGCAGAATGACTTTCTCAGGGTGGGTGAATGTTCTTCCCTCTCAATTTGGACTTCATTTGGGGAAAAGTCCCAGCCCCACTGAGGACTGTGCTGGGTAATGAGGAGGGGACAGAGCTGAGATGTATCCTTTTAGGTCAGGAATGAGGTGCAGCCTCAAGGAGAGGAGTTCGGTGCCTCAGCAGCACCGAATTGAATTCCAGAGCAAGAGCTGGAGCAGGAGAGGCAGAGCAGGACCCAGCTTCCCATGGGGACAGCCCTTGTGGGGCTGCATTTGTTTCCATGGGGAGTCACAGAATCAGAATGTCAGATTGGGAAACTGAGGCCCAGAGGGAGAGGAAGGTGTGCAGCCACACAGCGTCTAAGATGTTGGGAGCATTGATTACATGGTCATTCCCTTTTTGTGTCACATGCCACCTTGGCTGTATCCTCTAGCAGCCCAAGCTCTCTGGAAGGTAGGACTCCATGTCCCCCTTCTCTACTCCTCTACAGTGTCACTGAGCACAGGGCAGGACACTGGGGGCAGGGGCAGGAGGTACAGAAGGGAGTGGCTGGGTGACACAAGGATTGGTCTGCCCTCCTTGGGATCCTCTGTGTTCAACCTGAGTCCTAATACGTGTGTGAGGCCTGGGGTCGCAGCAGGTGAGGGCCACTCACCTTGTCATCCAAAATGGGCTCACACTGTGAGTAGTTGATCTTTGAGGCCCACGTCCCATTCTCCAAGCATTCCCGATAGGCATTCCCTACAAAAAAATGCCAACTGCCAAGAGTCAGGTCACTCCCCTCCTCAAGAGCCCTCCCTGGCTCCCTAGTGCCCACAGGATAAGGTAAACACACCTCAGCTCTCCTAGGGCAGGAAATACAATGTGCATCTGAAAGTTTACATGTAAGCCACTTATGTGAAAATAGCACAAAAGACTCATCTTACAAGATTGCTAAAGGCATGCTAAAACCCATTTTAGATACAATCTTTGACTAGCACTTTGTACGCTTCCATTTTGTTCATTTGCTTCAAAACAGAATCCAATTGTGAGCAGTGGGTTGTGCCTGAAGATTCACTGCTTTCAGCATGCCACATAATTTACATCCTCATCTCAATTGTTTTATATTTGAGATCCATACTTCACCAATATCAGCATTTCCATTTTAATAATAGCTACCATTTACATAGCATGTGTTTCCCATGTGCCAGGTCCTCTTCTAACTGCTATGGATACACATGTCCATTCAATCTCCACAACCACCCCATGAAGTAGGCATTAATATGAACCCATTTCAGAGAGGAGGAAACTGAGGCACAAAGAGATTAAGCTGCTGGCCAAGGATACAAAGATGACAAGAGGATTCAAACCCAGAAGTTCTGGCTTCAGGTCTTCTGTTCTTAACCTTTAGGCCATATCAAGTAGTGGCAAACAGGAATGAGTGAATGCTGGGGACTCAGGGCTGGGCCGGTGCTCTTGGGCCGCTGCTGCCTGGGAGGCCACCATGTGATGTCTCTCAACGTTCAAGAACCAGCCTCTGTATTCAAGTTGGAATACGATGTGTGAAAAGACGTTTCAAGGAGCATTGTCCTGTGCACACAAGTGCAGGTTTTGTCAAGGGGGATGGTAGGAAAGTTGAAAAATGCTCACATTTGCCTTTCTTTCTATCTCAGCTCCAACTGTCAAGGTCTGGCTCCTAAGACACCCCCTCCATACGCCAGCTCCAATCAGGAGGAAGCCCTCCCACCTGAGAAGGCCTGGAGCTCTCCAAGTCTGCCTCTGCTCTGCCTTCCTCACTAGTGTGTTTCTGACCTCCCGGGTGGGTTACAAATGCTGAATGTTCCATTGTTTGGGGGTGATTTGTACCAGGGTTCATCTCTCTGACTAATGGGCAGTTGTCTGTGAATTTTTCTTTTTAGCATATGTTAGATATACAATGTAAAGCTAATTAAAATAAATAGCTCGCAGATCACAGAGTTGCAGAGCTGGAGGGGGAACTTTAGGTTGTTTTTGGAAGCAGTGTGTTCTGAAATAATTAAGTTTACTTAAAAACCCACTTCCGTTGAGCCCGATGAGTTTGAAGCAATGGAATTGGGAAAGAGCACTTGCCGAAGAGCAAAATCAATGGGGAAGATTCTATTAGCTTAATTGTTTTTTAGTTTGGTGCCTGGAGCTCATCCATTCTTCAAACCCAGGGTCATGACTGGCCTATTCCTTCCTCCTGGGCCAAGGCCCATCCCTGGCAGGGCCCTGCCCTCCCCCTGCCAAGTGAGTCAGGGAATGCCCTGGTCTGATGCTGATTCTGACTCCCAGGAAGAGGAAGCCTGCTCCCCACCCCTAGCCATGGTGCCCAACTCCCCAGGTGGGCTCTGAATTGGATACCTAGAACCATCTTTTCTTACCAACATTCATGCTCATGAAAGGGAGAGGCTACCTCAACTTGTGAGGGTCGTTGATGGTAATGTCACCGAACTAAAAAAGTAAGCGTGTAAGGAGGGTAAGTTCTTTTGTGAAATGAACAGTCCCTCCCTGATGGGGGTTTACAGTGTCTCTGAACAGTCTATGTGAGGTGAGGCAGACCAGAATCCTGTCTGTGTTTCAAAGGGCAGAAAAATTTATCTTCTATGTGTTCATAAATACTATCTAGCTTTCCTGAAGCTCAATGCTAGGCCCCTTCCTTCAGGAAGACCTTGATTGCTTTCACTCTATAGCTCTCTCTCCCGAGCACCTCCAGTCCTGACCACCTGAGCCCCACACTCCAAACCTTGCCCGATGACCAGCCCTGAGCTGTCCAGGTGAGTGAGTCTGGTCACTCTGATCAGTGTGGGGGCTCCCTGAGGATGGGGCCTCGGAACACTTGTTTCCCAAATATGATATCCTGTGGTGGCACTGATAGTGGGGTGGACTTGCAGGTGGGAGGGGGTCAGGATAGAAATGCTGCAAATCAGAGACCTTTCCTCTCCCTCACACCAATGTCCATGGGGTTCCAAGTTCCATGGATTCTTTCTCCTCCTTTTCTTTTTCCAGAGTTCACTCCCCTCCTGCCCATCCCTCCATCTGCTCTCTAGTCTTCTTGCCTGGACTGCCACAACGGCCTCCTCTCTCACTTCCCTGCTTCTTCTCTTGCCACCTTGACCATGTTGATTCCTGCTTAAAAGCCATCAGTGGCTGTTTATTGCTCTCAAGAATAAAGTCTAATTTCTTAGCATGATAGTCAAGGCCCTTGATACACAGGTCCCAGCCTAGCTGCCCTGACCCATCTCCAGCATTCTGCATGGCCACTGGCAATGGCACAAACAGGCTTGGCACATACCCTCTTTGTGTGGATCCACCTCTTAAAGCACCTCCTCCTTCTTACCTACTGCTCACGGATGAACTCCTACCCACCTTTAACCCACTCTCAAATGCCACCTCCTGCATGGAGCCATCCCCAACACCCCTAGGTCTGAAGCAATCCTTTCTTTGTTTCCCCCTCTATCCCTTCCCTTGTAACGTAGTTTTTCCACTTTATTGCCCTTGAACCACAATAACACATACATTTTATATTATAATCCAGTACACACACACACACACACACACACACAGAATCCAGTTTCAAAAACCAAGATTTAGCTTGAGCACAACTGTACTATTTTCCTATCCAGCCTATTCTAATGCCTTCTATTCATTTCACACACAAACGCTGATCATGACCCACTAAATTGACTCCACAGTCCACTCTTGCATCACAATCCATAGTTTGAAAAACACAAATTCTGTTTTAGTGCATTTGCCATAATTCACTATGAATTTCACATCTTTGGACCTAATCATTCTTTTCTTTGGTACTGGACTTGAGCTCCTTGGGAACAGACAAGTAAGTAGAAGCCATATTGGAGCCACCAGATCTCCCTCAGGACAGAGCCACTGAGGAAATGTGGGCTGAACAGAATTGACTCAGACCTGCTGACCCCTGGGAAAGCAGGTAGGATGCAGTAGTGGGAGGGGACTTCCCTCTCTGGCAGCCCAGCCCTGCCTGCAGATAAGCTTCTGGCTATAGACACTGGGTATCAAAGGACTGGAGGACAGATGTGCCCCACTCTTCGGAGGAGCTGTCTGCTGTAGCTAATGAGGGCACTGGGCCCTCAGGCACAGCCTTGGACAGGAGAGAGTAAGACGGAAAGGATCCCCTCCACCCCCTGGAAACCATAGATGGATGGGCACGCACTCTGAGGGCAGATGGCAAGGCTCAAATTGTGGGGCTGGATGCAGAGAGGTGGGTGCCCATTACCATAGCAACACAGGTGCCCCTGCTGAGGATCAATGCTGATGATGTGGAGTGTGGGCTTCCAGGGGCAGTAGGGTCTGAATGATGCAGGCAGGGTCTTCTCTTGCAGGACTCTGTAGTCTGGGAGGCCTGGTTTCCATGCTCAGAGTGGCCGAGGCCTGCCAAAAACCCCCATTACAATGGGGGTTTCAGATGCTGACACTTTGCAAAGAGTTCCCAGTTCAGGCAGTTACCTGGGGTGGTCCTGAAGCCTGGCTAGGACATGAGAGCCTGTATTCTAGCTGTAGTTTTGTCTCTGGATAGCTAGGTGACCATGACTAAGTCCCTTCCCTCTTAGTCTCAGTTTTGCCTCTTAGAAAAACTACAGTAAATCGATTCTCTATGATGTTTGGCATCTCAGGTGTATCAATTATATGTTATGTGAGACTCCCCAGTCTACTAAATGCCAGTTAGCATCCCCAAGCTACTGTGACAACTCCAAGCACCCTGACATCACCTTCAAATGGTTGGCACTTCTATCTCTGATACCGTCTGGAGAGACATGGACCATAGGAGACAAGGACCATGAGGGGCTATTTTTGGTGGTAGTTTTGGGGAAAGGAGTACAAGGGACAGGGGTAGGCATGGGGAAAAGAGTGAATGGGACTGTGGTGAGGCACAGCAATGGGGTCATTGGCTTTTTGAAAAGAAAAGTACAGCAAGTGAGGGAAAGGCTGGATATGGTGGCTTATGCCTGTAATCCCAACATTTTGGGAGACCAAGGTGGGTGAATTGCTTGAGCCTGGGAGTTTGAAACCAGTCTGAGCAACATGATGAAACTCCATCTCTCTCTCTAAAAAAAAAAAAAACCAGGCGTGGTGGTGTGTGCCTATAGTCCCAGCTACTCAGAAGGCTGAAGTGAGAGGATTGCTTGAGCCTGGGAGGCAGAGGTTGCAGTGAGCTGAGATTGTGCCACTGCACTCCAGTCTGGGTGATAGAGTGAGACCCTGTGATGATGATTATAGAAGAAGAAGGAGGATGAAGAGGAGGAGGAGGAGAAAAAGAAGAGATAGTACTAGTAGTAGTAGTGGTGAGGGAGAGAAAGTGATGACATTGAGGTGGGGAGGGCCAGAAGCAGTATTTACAGAAGGAATGAAGTCACTACATGGGATCGGAACTTTCAGCACCGCGGACAGCGTCATGCCATTCTTCATCCCTGCCTATCTCTAAGGTTGGGGACCTCGGAGAGCTCCTAAGAACCAGCCTTCCCACCTGATATTCAGATCTTGGCCCTGGGCCCGGCCCAATGAGGTCACGCCAATTCATGCCCCTTTTCAAGGCCCAGCTCCAGCCCCAGCTCCTCCAGGTAGCTTCCATGACTGTTCCAGCTCCCCAAGGGTCTGGCTGCTTGTGTCTGCCTGGCTCACGCTAGGTTGGGATTGTTCTTTCACTGACCCCTGTAAAGGTGTTGTACTTTCCTAACCAGCCCAGGTTCTCTGGAGCAGAAGTTTGCCTT